CATCCCGGTCCCCCCGTCCGGATGGATGATGCTCTCGCGCCATCCACCCACCCACCCACTTTCAGCCTCGCTTCCTCCTCCCTCTCTCGCTCCCTCGTTCGCGGTCAGAGCCGGAATATTTGAAATTGTTTTGGGGGGTGATACGACGCTCGTTTGCTTCGCTCTCCTTCGTTTGCAATCCTTCTCTCATTACCACTGGCTGCATCTCCTCTCCGTCCTTCCCTCCCCCACCACGGGCTTCATTAATTTGTGCCTATGTAATTTCACAGTCCTGCAGGGGAACTTGCTTTGTACAAATGTTGTACGAATTCTCGGTGTGGAATTTTGTGTGGGATTTTCAGTTCCAAAAATTCTCCGTAGTGGGCTGGAGTTCTGACACGAAAACGCTGACTTGGCAAGATGCCAAAATTCCAGTGTTTCACTTTAGGGTGCTGTATGCATGGTAAATATCATTGAATATGGTATCGTGAAATTACGCCGGAAATTCAGATCATGGTAAATTTTCTGCATTTCAATAATTGCATATTTGTTAGCCCTTTTGGTTTTTGCACGTGGGCTTTTGCCCTTTAAGGTAGCAGTAGCACTAGTCAGGTGGAAAAAAAGCTTCCGAACAATGACAGGAATGAAGCAAAGATCAGTTTTTCGGACTCTTTAAACAAGTTCCTCTCCCGAAAACATCATTAATGAAAATTTTTGTTGAAGCGACGAAGCCTGGCACCATCGACAATTGCTGCCGGAGGGATGCCGTCATCATCGTACAGCGGCGACTCATCAGTGACGAGTGGTGCTGAAGGAAGCGTTGAGGGGAAGCTACGCGAACGAAAACGGCATCAAATAGTTGCCCGGAAAGATGTTAGTCATTCTTCTTTTGCTCAATGAATTTTTCAAATTCTTCCAAAAAAGTTGCCAGTTTTTATCTCTTTTCTCCCCATTCCCTGCACCACTTTTGTTCTCTGTTCTGTGTGTTTGAAGGGATTAGAATGGGCTTTTATTGCTGCTAATATTTGTTCCTATTATTTGTTAAATGATGATGAATTTAATGCAAAATACGTGGTTTGGCAAAGAGCCAAGTGGCGGAGTGATTATGCAGTTTATCCAAAAAAATTTGAGTGATGGATGAGGATATGCATGGACTCTTCAGAGAGAGAGAGAGAGGTCGGCCCTCTCAAATTGAGTGCAGAATTGCGCCATGCCGCACACACTGTTCTCTCGGTCTTTTGCTCGATGCATTGTTGTCGTTCAGGAGCGCTCTGTACGTTCGTCGTGTCCACCACTAATGCTGCGCTTTGACCCCTACAATTATGGCTAATCTGCTGCTGCTGCACTGCCCGATCATCCAGGACCTCTGGGCCCTCCCTTGTTACAGCAGCAGCTGCTGTTGCTGCTGCTCCGGTTGGTGTTTGGCGTACCCGTAGCACCGAATATGTGTCGGATGATTGCGCAACACATTTCGGCGCACGGGGGCATCACACACTGACACTGACCTCGACCTTTTCTTCTGCTACCTCCCCTCCCCGTCCACATCCGTCCTCTTTTTACACATCTTTCGACCTCCTCTCCTCCTCCTCCTTTCTGAATAACAACGACTGCAAAAAAGAAAAAAAAAAA